TGCATCTGACCAGAACTGGGTCATTCCAGCCCACAACCTGAAAAGGCTGCTAAACACCAATATAGATGATCGTCTTCTAGGTGGACCATCATTAGGAGGGGAATGAGCCCAGTGGATTTTATCATTACCTGACAGCAGAGAAATGGCAAAACTCTGGATTTCATCTCAGGCTCTGGAGGGGTGTGTAACCTACTAAGGACACACTCTTCCTGCCCCCGCATCCAGACCTTGAACCCAGTCCCTCATTCCCTGTCCCAAGCTTCTCTTTGGGAACTACAGACCAGACAGCCTCACCTCATTCTCTGGAAAAATCATGGAGCAGGTCCTCAAGGAATCCATTTTGAAGCACTTGGAGGAAAAGGTGATAAGGAAGTCAGCATGGAGTCACGACGGTCATGTCTGATCAACCTGATTGCCTTCTATGATGAGATGACTGGCTTTGTGGATGCAGCGGAAAGCAACGGTGATATACCTTGACTTTAGCAAGGCTTTTGATACGGTCTCCCTCAACATTCTCACAAAGAAGCTAAGGATGTTTGGGTTGGATGGATGAATGCACTGTAAGGTGGACAGAAAACTGGCTGGATCACTGGGCTCAGAGGGTAGTAGTCAATGGCTCGATGTCTAGTTGGAAGCCAGCATCAAGTGGAGCGCCCCAGGGGTTGATCCTAGGGTCGGTTTTGTTCAGTATCTTCATTAATGACCCAGAAGATGGGATGGAGTGTACAGCAAGTTTGCAGATGACACCAAGCTAGGGGCAGTAGTAGATACTGGAGGGTAGAGCTAGGATTCAGAGTGACCTCGAGAAACTGGAGGATTGGGTCAAAAGAAATCTCACAAGGGCAATGAAAATGGTTAGGGGGCTGGGGCACACGACTTCTGAGGACAGCCTGAGGGAACTGGGCTTATTTAGTCTGGAGAAGAGAAGATTGAGAGGTAGAAGTGACAGAGAAGTCTTCAACTACCTGAAGGGGGTTCCAAAGAGGATGGAGCTGGACTCTTCTCAGTTGTGGCAGATGACAGCAAAAGGAGCAATGGTCTCCAGTTGAAGCAAGGGAAGTTTAGGTTCAATATTAAGAAAAAGTCTCACTAGGAGGGTAGTAAAACACTGAAACAGGTTACCCACAGAGGTGGTGGCATCTCCATCCCTGGAGGTTTTTAAAACCTGGCTAGATAAAGCCTTGACTGGGATGATATAGTTGGGGGTGGTCCTGCTTTGAGCAGGGGGTTAGACTAGATGACTTCCTGAGGTCCCTTCCAACCCTAATTTTCTATGATTCTTCATGCCATCAAACATGTCATGCCAGTCCCAGTCTCTTTGAATAGCCAACCTTAGTCTTCCACTGCAGTCTTGCTGCCTGGAGTTTCAATCTCAGTTCTCCCCTTTCCCTCTTCACAGATTATTAAACAAGAAGGGACCATTGTTCTTAGTTGAATCTCCCATACAGGACTTTCTGAAAAGTTCTTTGCCCTGTTTCCCCTTCTCTCTTTTTTGTCATTTCAGTTTCTTTGACTAGCCAATCCTGGCTCTCCTCCTGGATCCCATTTGTCAAATCTGTCCCACCTCCCTCTCCCTCTTCATATAGGTTCCTAAGTTTCAGTCTCCTTGTCCAAACAAACCCAATCTTCCCCTTTCTTCTAACTGCTTGGCCAGTCTGTGTTCAATTCCCATCCAACTGGCTACCAGTCCTATTTCATGTCCTCTGATTTTTCTCACCATCTTACAAACCCAGTTTAAGTCTCCTTGAAGCTTCCCCTATGCTGCCCTCCCCAAAACTGTTTCTGTCCTCCACTCCAGTCTCAGATTCTTTGCTCCCCTGAGAAAGGGTGAACATGCCCAGTGAGGATGGAGCCTTTGAAACTTCCCATGACAACAAGTGTAGAAGACATTAATCTTCTAAACTGACATTAATCTTCTTCTAAACTGCCACTTTTTAGAGGATGTTTTTGGCAGATTTTCACAGGGAAGATAAAAGATGCTTCCCTAACAAGGGTTGCTGATAATTCCAAGGACTGCTCCAAAGTGTAGAAGTAGAGCTTTAAATGGGTAACACAAAGTATTTGCCCCTAGCCTCATTTGTGGAAACAGATGAGCCTTTTTAGCTGACATTTTAAAATTAATTCAATCAGAGGGTGACACCCAGCACGGAAAATTTCAGTCCAAATGGTCAAAGTTTGACAAAGTAACAGGTTATGGTAACCTCACTTATTACACACACAAATATAAATGTGCTCAAATTTTCTGTCTTCTATAAATTTACATTACTAGTTTCAAAGGTATTTTATATTCCATCCTAATGTTATTTGTATTGTTTGGCTCTTCAGAGATGATATATGGCTAGGACATTTTTAAAAATGCCAATTATTAATACATTTCAGTAAAATTTAAAAAAAATAGAAATTTTGTAATAGTACCTCAATTTAATTAGTGTGAAAAAATATATTAGCTATTTTCAAGTGAAAAATACCCCAATGAATTTGCAATCAACACACACTTCTAAAAAAACAAAACTTAGTTTAAAACTTGAGTTTTAATAAACAACAATTTATACAGAACATAACATGGAAGTTTCGTGTTAATAAAGGGGTAAAAATATTTTGCTTGGTTGTTAATCAAAGCAAACACCAACACTGACACTAACTTGGAGTGTAAGAATAAAAAAGTGCAGTGACTAACTGCTTTGTGCAAAATGAGGGAAAACATTTCCCATAGTTTCTGTTTTAATATCCAAAATTTTATTAGTAGCTCCCGATTACTTTAAAAATCTGGCATTATATTTCATTAAAAAAGAGATGGGATAAGAGCACAGCAGGAACTTGTTCACTTGCAGCAGTGACAGAGAAAATTGCATGAAACAATGGGAAGTTGAGGAGGAAGCAGGAGAGGGGAAAAATACAAAACCTTAAAAAAAAAATCTACCTACAATAGGAAGTTTTACAAAAATATTCTCCAACAGCTCTTACAAATGAGTCCATTTTTACCAATGTGTTTATAACCTGTTTTTCAACAGGTTTGTACCAACAACTGGAGGCTAACAATTGGTGGAAGACTTGTCTATTCTATGCTCCTGAGCCTAAGAACCACCCCCCACACACTAATTAGCATCCTGAGCTTTACACTTTAAACTTTTAACTCCCTTGGTCAGGAAAAATGTCTCTGAGGTAACTAGAAAGTTTATTTTAAAACTGTTCTGTAAGTTACTAAATTTTGTGATCAAGCTATCAAACAACAAGAAAGATACTGCATTATAAAATGTAGTCATGTCATTTGATAAACAAAAACACAACCGAATTATTTAGGATACAGCTGCACAGGACGCTAGCACATGTTCATTCAGCTGTACATCTTGCAATAACGAAGCATCAGGACAGAACTCTCAACAGTTCTAATTCTGCTCTTAAGTTTTTGTTTAAAAGCAAGAAAAAACTATGAATAGATTACTGGTTTGTGGATTAGTGCAAAGGAAAATTAACAAAGCTCAACTGAACTTTCATCTATGGAAGAAAAGTGTATCCAGTTTGCCCACAGCAGCTATCTGAAAGAGAAGCCTCTCTCCATTTGTAAACTACGGAGAGTCCACTTTTCACTAAAATGTTTTGTTTTACCATAGCACATGTATAAACAAGCTTCTTATTCTCACTCTCAGCTCTGCCCTTCCTTCCCTTGTCTGTTCATCTTTCATGTCAGCTCTACTATTACCACCTTTGTCGCCAATCTTATCTAGGCCAACTTTTAATACCATTACCCTTATCTAAATCCCTGCTTGTGGGATTTCTATGAGGCCTACAAGAAATAAAAAAAACAAACAACAGGAGTATTTGAAGGCAGTGTTTCCTTTTTAATTTTATTTGGAACTGCCTGAAAATGTTAAGTTGTGGAACATCTGAGCCATAACTATCTATAAAAAGATAGTTGTGTTATATAGTTACATGATATATTACAAAGATACATGTATAAATAATGTAAGAACCTGATCTAATTTTCATTACCCCTTTGCTTTCCTTCTTATCACAATTACTTCTGTTTTACCCCATGTTAGATGCACTCTGAGATGGGGATACCTCCCACTAAGTGTTTAATGCATCTTGTACAATATTTGGACCACAATCATGACTGGGACCTCCATATACCATGATGATGAAAATACAAATGACTGACTATAACTGGTCCAATATAAAATATCACCAACAAAATCCTTGCCTCTCAAATCAAACTGGCTAATGATTTTACATTGAACTCTTGTTGAGAGCCAACACAACCAATAGCAAGATGGCAGCTCCCTGAAACCAATGACAACTTTCAAGTAAAAACATTTTTTCAGCCTACCTCACAATTTAAAACCAAAAGCAATTGCAAAGTCCCTAGTAAATGTTGTGGAATTTCTTCCTGTGCACCCAGTCCAGTACATGGAGTCAGTCCATGGGCTCAGAGCTCCCCCCAGATCAGAAAAATTGGTAGTAAGGTGAGCAGCAGCATTAATTGCCACAGCTTCCAGAGCCACAACAATTGATGGTGCTACCACTCCCTCAACACCAAAGTTCTGGACCCTTGGGAAGTCCCATGGGCTGGATGACAACTCCATGGCTTGCATCCAGTCTGTGCACCATATTTTGGTCACCCTCACTTTAAACAGACCACCCTTCTTTTAAAGAATTCTGATACTATTCAACTCCATACATCTGACTCTGTTTTGTCACTTGATTTGTATTAAAATCAATACACCTGATTTTGTATCAGTTTGCAAGCTTGAATGATTAGTACAATTTTCTTGGACAATGTATAGTTTAAATGGGTAAGAGTTTGTCAATGCCAGCACAGAAATACTTTCTAAATTAGAATCATTTTGATGTACATGTTACCAAGATAAAAGAAAGATAACAGACACATGACAATGATTTGCTACATAAAGTAAAGCTAATTTGTGTTCATTTTAAATAGAAAATTCTATATGCCCCGCTGGCTTAAAAGAAAAGAAGAATTTTAAAAAGGACATTCTTACCCACAGTCTGGAGCTGGGCACCATCTACAATCTGGATCTGCAACAAGCCATCGCCTAAGCATAAATTCTTCATATTTTTCCATCAAGATGTCATCGTTTAATATCAAACGAATGTCATGTGGATTGAATCGTTCAGAACATTCTGGACAGCTGATATTAACTCTACTCTCAGAGATTTCTATCCGGAGATACTGACGTAAGCAATCCACACAGGATCTATGGTGACAAGTCATTATTTCTGGGAACCTGTCCTTAGAGTGCCGTAATAGACACAAGGGGCACTCCATGAAGTCTCCAGTTGGTTTACTGGTAGAGGTGGTGCCATTGTCAGAAGAGGTACATGTGGAGAAGATAGAGTTCTTGTCTGTGCACATTTCAGAATGTATACTTTCAATACTTGCAATTCCATCCACCCCTCCATTTAAATCCCTAGATTTGCGTTTTGTATCCTTTTTCCTTCGGAAGAGGGAGCCCAGTGAAATTCTTCTTTTCTTTGGTGCCTTTTTAACTGAAGGCAAACTTACTGAAGAGGCAGAAGACTGCAGGTCCCGATCAGAGCCCATTTGCCGATGCAAACTCATGTCTAGAATACTCATCAGAAATGGGTCAAAGTTCACGTGTAACCCTTATCATTTTTAAGGCTCAAATGAATACAAAGTAGTAGTGTGCTTAAGTCATGTTGCCAGGTGATCCAACTTAGTGGTCTTCATAAAGAAAATTCTTCACATACATTTGTTTCCAGGGAAGTCTTCACAGAAATTCTCTTAAGTCCAAAAAACAAAACAAAAAGACACATTAGCATTTTATTCAGTCCTCTTTAAATTCTAGGAGTACAGCATCTGGAGAACCACTTTACTCATATTACTGCCCCCTTGCTGCACTCTAAAAGCCTAAAACAAAAAAAGACCTCAACCCCCATAGGCACTATTGTCATATAAACAAGGGCAATCATATACTGTAACAACAAGCTCTCTTGCAAATTCTTCATTGGATGGAGTGATCAGAAAACTTGGCACCCAGTAATGCAACACTTTTGTAACAAAGAAAGAAAAAGGAGTTCTCCTAGGAGAAGCCAATTTTGCAGAAATGGATTCTTAATGTCTATTAGAGACGCCCATGTGACTAATAACTTGAACTGCTTCTCAACTTTCTAAATACCGCCTCGATGTGGAGACAGAGAGAGTGCACTTGGTTTTTGTGATTTTATTAGTAGCTTTGATCATACTGAAGTTAACTGCTAGAAAGAACAGGGATGTCACACATTTTTACATTTATGCATTTTGGTAGAGATGAGACTAAGGATTCTGTGATGTTTCAGCCTATTGGACCAGACGACCTTGAGCCAACAATCCATACAAAATTTGTATCTCTGATATGGAACCAGCAGGGTAGATAAAAATGAACAATTTTATTTATTTTTTATTTAATCATTTATTTTTTAAGATGCTTTTTTAAAAAAAAATAAATCTATATAGTTTTAAGATACGTCAAAGCTCAAAGATATCATCATGGAATAGGGATTATACCTTCTAATTATATATTATTTGAAGTTATATATATATCCATGCAACCTTTTTAGAAAAGTTTATAAATAGGTCACAACAGGTCATGGACTATATTGGGGGCCCAATCTTATGGGGTTCCCAGAGTCTCCTCTAAAGATTAGTAAAGATTTTAAAAAACCACTCTACGCAATGGGACTCAGTGCTCAGTCTCAAAGATTCTATTAAGCATCTCTGATGCTTAGTTTCAGTTCTTAAACTGTGGATTTGTGTATCCAGAGATAATATCCTTGTTAACAGCAGTATATGGACATGAGAGAGAACAAACCCAATTACCTACCCATCAGGCCTACTGTCTCTCTAAGTTCGCATACACACAGTCAGGCCCATACCTTTCTCTAAAAGTGCAAAGTTTCAAGAAGTTAAATGAATAAAGGATATCAAACAACAATAATGCTTTTTTTGGTAGAAAACAATGATTAAATTGAACCTTCCTGACCAGTGATTTAAATCAATTTGATTTGAAGTCAAATCTGCCCTGGGAACCAGTCACTGTTCAACCAGTGGAAGCCATAATAAGAAGCTCCAAAGGTCAGGTCTGAAAGTGAGTTGCCCAGGCAAAGAGAAGTGACACGGGCTGGAATCCCCACTTTCACAGGCTGGATGCGGACCACAGACTATATATGTTTGGACACCCCTATCATGGGGCTGTTGTGCTACAAACATAGGTAAGAATTACAATATAGGAGTGAGTTTACTCATTTTGTAAGCACAGTGCATTATTACTAGATTCTTTGTACATTTAATAGTGTATTTCCACTTCTGCAATTAGGGGTCTGTGCTACAAAACTGCTGATCTACATTTTCATACATTATGCATGATATAAGTTGTGGTAATTTTAATAAACTTGAGGTACTAGCATGCTAAAAAGAACAATAGATACAGCATTATGCACCCACAAACTGATTCACTAAAACCAGTTCATTGTTTTTACAAAGTAACTTCATCTCTCAGGTGCAACTACATTAGCATTTACTTTTTCCATGCAAGTCTATAAAATATTGCAGAGTCATTTCCATGGCAACTTTGCTGCAGGAGTACACAAAGGAAGTCCTACTTTTAAAAACCTGCAGTTTCATGCTGTGTGTGTTTGCACTGCCAGCTGAAAATCTTCCACTGTCACTCAAGTTGATGTAAACAACATGAACTGAGACCTTTTCCTCTCTTGAAAAAGTGGAGAAGACTGAGAGGCCTTGGGAAAAAAGAATTTCATAAATAAGATAAGTTCAGTACCATCTGTACAAGTTGTTACTTTTTTCCACCTTAGGAAGGATATGCCTTACACTGAGCCCAATATAAAACACTTAAAAATGCTACAAATATATAAAGCCAAACATATTTTTAGAACATCATGCATCCTAGTGTTAACTCTACAGCTGAAATTTTAACATTACACTATTCCTGGTTAAATTATGACTGCTCTCTAACATTACACCTCATTTCACAGTAGTTAAAACTATGTGTTTTGACATTTACGATCCAGCTTGTCATTTTGCCCAACACAGTAAGGTAAAACAAATACTGTTAAGTTTCAAAGTGCTATGCTACTGGAAGGAAATGAAGATTCTTCTGCTAAGTAATTGCACACTAAATCATTAAGGGAAATGAGTTACATAGGCATCGCTATTTCAAGGCTGCAAACCTGCAGAACACCAGTCATATGTTGTGTGTTCTAGAAGGTAAATGCAGCACTCAGTGTCAATAAACAGTGTCAATCATATCAGTGTTCCATGTATCATATGATTACACTTTGACATTATAAAATGTTCATGTTTTAAACACATTTTGTAAAAAAGTAGCTTAACTACACTTTTACACTTTGAAGCAGGACTCCCATAGACCAATCCAAAAAAAAAAAAAAAAAAAAAAAAAAAAAGGGGAAAAAATTAAAAAACTTTTTTTAAAATAAAACCACCCTTTTTTTAAAAAAAAAAAAAAAAAATCAGGGCAAAAATTAGTACAGCTTCTTTAGAATGATACCAGCACTTTCTTCAATAACATAAAAACAAATTTAAAATACTTCTATAGAAAGCATCAATTCTGAACACATTATAAACTTATACATGTGTGTGCATGCAGATGCGCGCACACACACACACACGTTCATACCAACTCTAGCAGAGAAGCATGGAATATATTCAGTAACAAGGTGTATTTTACCTATTGATCCATACTGTAGACAGCAACCCTGATCCAATAAACATAACCCTGGGGCAATTTAACTGGTTTGGCAAGTTAAGCAAACATGAAGCCAAAATGACATTTACAGAAAGTTGTTTTGTTACATACTTCAAGTTTTCACAGTTTAAAAAACCTATTCCAATTATTCAGTGAGGAAATGGGATTGCTAAACACATAAGCCTGTGAGATCACCTTCACTCTTTTCGTATTTGTTTAAACAGCTCCCACAGTAAACCAAAGGCGTTACAGAACAAAGAAAAGAAAAGCCCTGCCCCCAAGGAGATTACAGTCCAATTTTATAAAATGCCGCCCCAGCAAGCAGTGAAGGGCAGACAGAGTTGAAGAGAAAGGAAAATTCAGAACCAGGCTTGTAAATAAAATGCAGACCACAAGCCTTCCTAAATAGAACAACCATTGGCTAGTTGGTCCAAGCAGGAAGTCTCGAAGAAACTGCAGAAGGGAGGGAAGAAGAAATACGAATGACAATAAAGAGATAAGAAATACTGGGGGGGCAGGAAGGCTTCTTGTCACTTTTATCAAATAGCTGATTCAATCAGCTATTCAATAGAAGTGACAAAAATCCCTGCTGAAGTGCACACTCTATACAGGTGTTGGGTGAGCTGGGTCAAACTGATGGAAGCTACTTATCTAGGCATGTGCTACTGTGCTTAGTGCAGGGCGTGCTGAGCTGAAAGTAAAGCAGCGTTTTGTTCCCCCCCCCCCATGTCTATCAGCAGCCTTAGTTCTATGTAGTAAGCTACAAAGATTTTGCTATTTGTATTGTCTGGTTTCCAAGGGGATCCTACAGCCCTATTTCATGTTTTTAATTTCACCCTACAAAAACGTCTTTAAACGCAGTTAACATAGCTGAAGGCAAAAAATGGCTTCCTAAAAAAAAAAGAAAAGCATATGGCTACGTACACCCATTCCCAGAACACGCCATCTCCATCCCAAATAAATTAAGAGTAATGAACCCCAGTCACTGCCCGAACCATACAACCTTGATTTCTGTATTTTCTAATCAAGACACTGTGATCACAATAATTTAAGTTCCAACAGAACAAACTAAGCACTGGAGTCTAAAATATACTTTTTCTGGATGCATTACTGTAGAACAGGGGCAGGTAATTATTTCGAGCACAGGACCGCTTACCCAGTTTTGGCAAGCTATCGAGGGTCGCACAGGTAGCCCTGACCTTTGACAGGTGCCCCACCCCCTGGTCACCATCTAGGGACCAATGTCCCAGGGCCAGCACCGGTGGGGCCCAGAGCGAGGCACAGGCTGGCAGGGGTATGTGAACTAACTCCCAGTGCCCCCCAGCCCCGCAGTACAGGTGGGAAGCAGCATGCAGCCCTGAACCTCCTGCTCCCTGGTAGGGAACCAGCTGGTGCCGAGTGTGGGGAAAAGTGGCCCCTCCTCGCCCTGTGATCCCTGCTGCAGCTGCTCGCAGCCTGCGTGGGGCTGTCCTGAGCAGGCACAGGCAGCCCCACGCAGGCTGCGAGCAGCTGCAGTGTCGGGCACCAGCCACACGGCAGGCAATGGGCTGCTTTTTTTGCACTCAACACTGGCTTTTAACCCTCCCCTGCAACCAGCCTGGGCTCGCTCGTCAGGGCTGCACACGGCAGCAGCAGCTGTGGCCCCCCCCGCCCTTGCTGCACCCGCCGGGCAGTGTTTGCCACCACCGCCTCTGGGCAGCCCTGTGCACTACCTCTGGGTGGGCAGCAGCAGCAAACACTGCCTGGCAAGTGGGGGGGCCTCAGCTGCTGCTGACGCAGCACGGCTCCAACAGGCAAGCCCAGAACTGGTGCAGGGTCCAGGCTGGCAGCGGGGGTGAGTTACAAGCTGATGCTGTGTGGGAAAAAAGTGGCCCTTCCCCCACCCTATGGCCGGTGTCCCACACTGCAGATGCTCACAGCCTGTGTAGGGCTGTCTGTGCCTGTTCAGGACAGCCCCACATGGGCTGTGAGAGGCTGCAGCAGGCAGCATGGGGCGGGGGAGGGGCCACTGCTGCCAGGGCT